TGTAATCCATGTTAACTCAGAGTTTCACGATTCTACACTCCTGCACATTCCGGGTTATGGGATTACGAGGTTATGGTTATCTGGAGTTATGGGGTTATGGAATTAAGAGGTTAAGAGGTTATGGGATTACGAGGATAAATGTTTATGGAATTGTGGTGTAATGAGATCGTGAATTCCATTGTTTTTCCAGTCAGTGGCCACTTAAGTCAATTTGAAATCTCGAAAACCGCTTCCTAGGATAGTTTTTTTTTATGTTAAGACATTGAACTAATCCGGAAATTCTAACTTTAGATTTGGATTCAGCGGGTTAAAACACTGTAGAATTTACTGGTACGGTCCATGACCTAGCTCACTTTCTTGTAGCGCTGAGCTATTTAAGAACCATTGGATATACTTGGGGAGACTTAAAACTTGGTGCAGTGCTGCGCAATCGAAATTTGAGCAATATAGAATTTTTAACCTGAATGAGCCAATCTACGGGAAAAATCCAGAGGCACAAAAGCATTAATTGGAATTATCGATACTAATTAAAATTTAGTCTCATCTTAATTGTGACACTACTACTAATCTTTGTTTAGATTTTACTTGTAGATATGAGGGAATTGCTTTTGTACCATTATATATTATATTAATAAGTATAGGTAGCAAGAGTGGTAGGCTCCCAAATTTCAGATAATATGCTTGTTGTGTTACTGTTGTTTTCATCATGTCTAAAAGCTTCTTCACTAGATTTTCATGTTAAAAATTCTTTTGGTAGTTTGTTTCCAGAAGATTATAATATATTCATATATGATATACCGAGTGATTCAGTTTGGTATTCGCAGCTCTGTCTCTCTTTTATTTTAACAAATACCTATGACAAACCCTATATATTTTTAAATCGCCGCTCAATCTCTATCAAATGACATTATTAGATCGTCTCCATGGTAACATATGTGAAAATTGCTATAGTCAACTGTTTTTATTCAAATGGCACACTTTATATTTTTTTATCAATTCTGGAAGATATTTTTGTTCTGCGTTCAGCTGTGTAAGGAAGTCTATAGTTTCATTAGAAATATTACTAGAAAACCAACAAAAAAGATGAACCCTACTTTTCGTAGCTTTATTCTGAAAAATCATAACCAGCTGCGGAAACAAGTTATTATGTTTTTTAAAGTAAGATATTTTATTTTTAATACGATAATAATATAACAATTCAAAACAATGCTTATTTCAAATGTTCAAAATGACCTCCATTTGCTTCCAAACACAGAATAGCTATGTATATCACACCCTCTCTACAAACACATTATACTGTTTCTTCATTTAATCTCCGATATTCTACTCTTATTCTGTTTTTAAGATAAATATCATTTAGGTAAGGCCAAAGAAAGAAATCTATAGGGGCGAGACCCAAAGATCTAGCAGACCATTTAACATCTCTAACGAATGTTCTTCATCTCTTGCCCTTCTGAGTTTAAAAACTCTTCTTTTCTTTTGAAAACTTCCATCTGCCGCCAAATTCCTGGCTAACTTTTCGAAAAATTTTTCTGTGGAAGTTGTCTCTGCGGGAAACGATGTTGGCACCTATAAATACCTGGCAGCTTTAGCCTTCTCCATAAATTAAAATCATATCTAGTGTTTCTTGGTTACTGTAAATATTCATGTTATAATTACACAGGTCAACATTTGATCTAAGCGGGAACACCGTAATCGGTATGGGCTACTAGGGGTTTTTGGGGTCGCTGATTACGATGAGAGGGTCAGTTAACCTCCATCACGTCAGGTTCAAGGTAAATTGAAGGTCAAATGCAGAAAATGCCATGAAAAAATCTGAAAAAAATCATGGATATGGTCGGACAATCCGAATCTGAGGTCAGCTAAGCTCCACAAGGTCAAGGTCAAGGTCATTTGAAGGTCAAATGCAAAAAAAGCCATGAAAAAATTTGAAAAAAATCATGGACGTTTTTGAGGTCGGACAATACGAATCTGAGGTCAGCTAAGCTCCACACGGTCAAGGTCAAGGTCATTTGAAGGTCAAATACAGAAAAAGCCATGGAAAAATTTGAAAAAACCATCGATATGTTTTTGAGGTCGGACAATCCGAATCTGAGGTCAGCTAAGCTCCATAAGGTCAAGGTCAAGGTCATTTGAAGGTCAAATGCAGAGAAAGCCATGAAAAAATCTGAAAAAAATCATCGATATGTTTTTGAGGTCGGACAATCCGAATATGAGGTCATCTAAGCTCCACAAGGTCAAGATCAAGGTCATTTGAAGGTCAAATGCAGAAAAAGCCATGGAAAAGTCTGAAGTCAAGCATTACTTTTCGAAGTGAAAATAGGATAAATGCCTATTCTACACGTTCGCTCTTCTGCGTTCTTCTGCTTTCAGTTTCTTTATTGCAGTTGCTGCGAAACTTGCTCAGCTGACCAATTTGTTGGCGAAGACAACATCACTTCAATCACATTCTCTGGATCCTCTATTCTTCCAACTGTGTTCAGAAGAAATCAACTTCGCCATGTGCTCTTCTACACCAGCTACCGATAACTTTAATCAATCGGTGCATCCCTCTTCCATTAGGTGATTCCTTTCATCCTATTTGCCATAGATCCATGGTCTGAGTCTTTTCCTCTTTTCCTACGATATCTCCATTTTGATAGATTGGTTGCTTTCAACGGAAATTGTTTGTTATTTCTTTTATTAGTAGCTATATAGATGCCTCTTCTGCTAGTAAGCATGTAACCTCATACGAGATAGAACGGTAGCCACATATAACCCGCAGAAAATGTTCTTCGATATACTGATTTTACGGTATTATTGTCGGATCAGTGATATGTAACTGAATAGGCGCGATGATTCAAGCGAAAGTGCGTGATATGAGTATAAATCTTGTAGAACACATGGAAGAAGTAAGGGTTTATATAAAAAACATGAAGAATAACAACTAAAAAATGTTATCGGTTAAAAATTTTCTTTTGAACTTGACCTTCTAATACCTTGACCTTGACCTTGTGGAGCTTAGCTGACCTCAGATTTGGATTCTCCGACCTCAAAAACATATCCATGATTTTTTCAGACTTCCATGGCTTTTTCTGCATTTGACCTTCAAATGACCTTGACCTTGTGGAGCTTAGCTGACTTCAGATTCGGATTATCCGACCTCAAAAATATATTCATGATTTTTTTCAGATTTTTTCACGGCTTTTTCTGCATTTAACCTTCAAATGACCTTGACCTTGTGGAGCTTAGCTGACCTCAGATTCGGATTATCCGACCTCAAAAATATACATGATTTTTTTCAGATTTTTTCACGGCTTTTTCTGCATTTGACCTTCAAATGACCTTGACGTTGACTTTATGGAGCTTGGCTGACCTCAGATTCGGATTGTCCGACCTCAAAAACATATCCATGATTTTTTTCAGATTTTTTATTTTTCATGGCTTTTTCTGCATTTGACCTTCAAATGACCTTGAACCTGACGTGATAGAGGTTAACTGACCCTCTCATCGTAATCAGCGACCCCAAAAACCCGTAGTAGCCTATACCGATTACGGTGTTCCCGCTTAGATCAAATGTTGACCTGTGTTATTAGTTATAGATATAATAGGTAGGTACAAAATGTCAATTATTTTGACAAACCGTTATAGAGACGTTAAAATTCAGTTGTTTCCGCAGCTGGCTATCATTTTTCAGAATAAAGCTAATGAAAGTATGGTACATCTTTTTTGCTGTTTTTCTAGCAATATTTCTAATGAAACTATAGACTTCCTTATATAGCTGAACGCATAAAAAAATATCTTCCAGAATTGAAACTGTTTCGTTCTTATTGTACAGTCTGCAGATGGCTTTACCATTGTCAGCCACATTGTGTAGATATGTATCTTCAGATTACGGTGACCAGCTAGAAAGTCCATAATTTGCTTTGCACTGATATGTAGTTCCAATGCAACTGATGTAGTTTCATCCATCGAATTATGATAATGTTTCTATCTTTTATGGTATTCTAAAGACGGGTACATAGCCTGTAAAAATTTATATATGCTTTTTCATTGCTCATATTCCTTCACTCATCCACTATAAAGGACTTGCAAAAATTTCTGCAGATCCCTACTTCCTACAGTATCTGCTTCAAGGACGAATAGCGCTTCATGTCTTGACACCAATTTCAGTGTTACCTTATGGAGCGTAAGTAAGAAGTCACCAGAGGCAGTTCCAGTACAGCTTTGAAATAATCCCGTGTCTTGCCATCGCCTTTATTATTGTATGTCTATTAGAACCTTTTAACCTCTATATGTCCTCCTCTTGTTATTTCACCTACATGTACTGCTTGAAATGCAGTTAGAGCCTGCTCCAATTTCATTGCCAGTTTTGGATGTATCAGTATGCTAATGATGACAGGCAAATTCTGCCTTACCGTTCGAGTTTAACTGAGGATTGTAGAACCTTTCAAATTTCAACATTGAAAACATATTATCTCGAGCAGAGGACTCGCTACGCTAATGTGTCTTTGGGCTATTCAAAAGCTGTCTTATTCCTACTTCCACTAAATGAAGATGTCTCTAGGCGAACGTTTATGAATGGTTTTCACTGCTTCAGTTAGAGTACTTTTCTCAGCATACAAATATGGCAGTTTTGGAGGTTTTTGGCCACCAGATTAGAGAAATATATGTAACCATGGCCTCACCATAGTACTCTGTGTGGATTTAGGTTGTTCCTATTGCTAGTTTGGTTGCCATTAAATATATTTTTCCTTTTTTTTAAAGCTTTGTGTACATGCTTTTAGCATCTAGAGTTACCTCTAGACATTTTACGTCGTGATATATACGCAATCATGTAGCAAAGAGGCTATAAAGCACTTGTACCAAGTTTGAAGTTTATATCTTCAATTGCTCTTGAATTATTGATCAAAAATTGTGTTTCTCGACCAATTCTTGAAGTATTATAGGGTCCCTAGTAATGTTATTTCTATATAGCAATTGTTAATTTCTAAGGCTACTAACACTTAGTGAGAACTTACCATCAGGTGCTTTTTCTATAGGAGAGACATGTTTCTGAATCTGCTGCTTTTGGTCACAAGTTGCTGCTGTCACCATTACAGCCGCCATCATGCTGCCCGATCCTGTTGTGGTGGAGCTTTTGTTGATCGCGCTGTAGCGCATAGGCATCATACTTTGCCTTATGTTTCTTTCGGGCCTTATTAAAATTATGTATAGCTAAAAATAAAATCGATACATGACATTAGGAAAAAGATAAAAAGTAACTTAATATATTCATACACTCTATTCTAAAAAGAAATTTGACTTTGGCTTGACCTTCTAAAGAATGGTAAAGAAGCGTATTCATTTTTAGTTTAATGGGAACACATTTTGACACAATTTTATGTCGTTAGAATTTTAACAAGTCGGATAGAACAAGTTTTCTTTTGAGTGTACTTCAATTACATTTCTAAGTACTGTTTTTAACTATAAAATATACTAAAACTTTATTTCTACACATTTTTTTTTTCGTAAATTCAAAAGTAAAACAGACAGGATGATATAAAATATTACATGAATGTCTCTCTACAATAATAAGTATTGCATAGCTGTGACAATATATCCATGTACGTAATTTTCAAACTTTTAAAATTATAAACTTTTCCGTAAGTGCAAACACCATGTAATATGAAACCTTGTACAGTAAATTTCTAGACATATTCTAATTTAATCCTGAGAGGTATTTTTAATAAAAATACTTTGAAAGAACTAGGGCGGCAAAGTCTAAAAGGTATGTAACCTATTTATATCCAAATCTTTTAAAGGAACGTTATATATGAAGATATTAAATATTTTTATTCGTTTTTATATAATAGCATAGTGCTAACATATTTTCAGTTTCAAATATACATGATTACATTATGAAATATTTTTATTTGCGAAGAAAAAATATAGAAATTACTTTATAATACTTTCAGTGGCCCAAACAGGATCGTAACATTTGTTTTAATGATTTGATTTGAGCCACTTCAAAGGCGAAATTAGGTCTTAAGAAAAATCAACGCAATGAACTAGAAAGGCAGATAATTCCAATATCTGAATAAAAAATAATCGTAAATTGGTAAACATCATTTAACAGATTGTCAAAATAAATTATAAGTTTTTAATGTGGATTATTATTATTATTTTTAAAATATTTATACAGAGAAATTTTAATTCCGTCAGTAAATCGAGAAAGATTGACGCTCTGGGCAAAGTTTATATAAATTTCTCTATAAAACACAACAAAACATATTAGAACTACTAACAAGTACGCTTGCTTTGGTGCCGTCTCTAAATGGAGGCAATACATTAAAAAATCTAATCTAGCGGATTTTTCCTAAACGCAATGAAAAACGGAACAAATAACAAAAAACAAATGGAATTGGCGATTAAAACAGTCAGAAGATATGTCTAGAAAACAGCGGCGAAACATTTTAATGTTCCAAAAGATACCCTTGAATATTATATTAAAAACAAAAAATTTTCTCCTGCGCAAATACTCTGGGCAAAAGTATCGAACATGAATTAGTTCAATACTGCCTTGAGGGGAAATCACTGAAAATACTTCAAATCCATGTCTAGAAACCTCAAAAGATTCTAATGACACTGAAGAGGTTACATATCGTCTACGCCTAGGAACTTCAAGAGATTTCAAAGACTAAAAGACGCTATAAATCATCCACGTCCAGGAACTTCAAAAGTTTCTAGTGACACTTTGATTACGTCCTCTCCATATGAGTATGACTTAACAATGCATTAAAATAGATTCCATATAAAAACAGCAAAGATGCAAAAGTGACAAGTTTAATGATTATAAAAAAGTGAACAATGACACATCAAAAGATACTAAGCAGTTGAAGAAAAAGAAGAAAGTTGATTTAAGTGATAGTTCGACTGATGAGAGTAACATGGAAGTTGTTTTTGATGATGCCAGTGATGGCGAGGAGAACTATGATGCACAGTGTTTCTTTTGTAGAGACTTGTATTCGGCAGACGATTACAACGAACAGTACCGATGGGCCTATGAGGGTTGTGGTGCAGAAGGTGTGCCCAATTAAATATGCAAAAAGACAGATTAAAATAATTTAAAAGGTTTTACTTTATCTTGCATTTTAAGTCGTTATTTTACTAAAAATAATGTTATTTGAAATATACAGGGTGTGGCGTGTATAATTTATAAAAAATAAACTACTGCTTCCTGTTGATATTTGTAATAGAAAATTCTTATACGAAAAAGTTCTATCTTCGCGTTTTTTTTTTGTAAATTAAAGTTCATTTATTCAACGAAAATGAAGGCCGATACTGTGTTATTTATTAAAAACTTTGGAAATGTTTTTATGCGACCCGAGATGCAACCTTATAATTTAAGTCGGTATAACCTAATATTACATTACAATACATTGTCAAAAAAATTGTGCAGACAACTTATTTTATATTTGTATTGAATTCATTATTCACTTAATTATTAAATATTAAGCATCGTCCATCGACCAGTGTTAAAAAGTTAAAGATTCCAGAAAAGTTTCTATTTTGTAATTCCACGATAGTGACAGTGTAATTTTTATAAAGAAGTAAAAAAATAAGAATAGCGTGCCGATTACATTAAAAACGAGATTCTTATTCCTTACTTTGCTTAATTTTTTAGTTTGTGCACAAACTAATTTTACAATGAACCGAGAAAACAATGCATTTACTATTTCCGAACGTGTAGATATGGTGTTACTGTATGGTGCAGCCGGAGAAAATGTGCTCGCCGCGACTAGGTTGTACCGGGAACGATGGCCACAACGTCACTCCTCATGTGCAAATACAATCCTACAGTGCGTTCAGCGGCTGCGAGATACGGGAAGTGTTATTCCTCGAGGAGAAGGACGTGGTCAGCAAGCGAACCTTAATGTTGAAGATGCAGTGTGGGAAAATCTTGACGAAGACCTCACAATTAGTACTCGACGACATGCACAGCAAGTAGGAACCTCATCTCGTACCGTACATCGCATCTTAAGGCGCCAACTGTTGCACCCCTATCATCTTCAACCAGTTCAACCGATTTTACCCCCGGATTGTGATCAACAAATGCGTTTTTGCAGATGGTTTTTACGGCAATGTGCCAATCAAGTAGACTTTTATGCTTATGTTTGTGTAACAGATGAGGCGACATTTACCCGTGATGAAGTGAATTTCCATCATATGCACATATGGGCTGATGAAAATCCTCACGCGATTAGGGAAACTCACTTTCAACATCGGTTCTCGGTAAATGTTTGGGTTGGCATAATAGGCGATGTATTTGTGGGGTTCCTATTTCTTTGAAGGACGACTAAATGGACCAACATATGCTGACATTTTGGGGAACCGGTTGCCTGAATTATTATTGGTCGATGTGGCACGCATGTTTTATCTTCAAGATGGGGCTCCTCCACACAGTACTCGAGAAGCAACATTTTTGAATGAAATGTTTCATCAGCGATGGATTGGACTTGACTTGAGTTTACAATACTCCAATTGCTACGGTGGAAGAATTGCGAAACCGTATACTTGAAGCTGCTGTCACAATTAGGGAAATACCTGGAATTTGGCAAAGAATTCGCCAAAATTGGGTGCGTCGGTGCCATGCCTTATCCGCGTTAATGGGGATCAATTTCAATATTTTCTCTAGAAATGGTAAGTTTTATTTCATTTTCTTCCATAATTTAATGGAGTTTGTTTAGTGTATGCAGTTGGCAACTACAGATGCTTACGGATGTGGTTTGCAAATAACAATGCATTTAAGATATAATTACTTACTATTAATTATTATAATAAGAAAACATCATTTTTTTTAAATATCTATTTTTCTTAGTTTGTACTTTTGCATTAAAAAATTTCCCAAAAATTGAGAAGTATCTTTCTCTTTCAACGACGATTTGTTTCTATTACAAATATCTTTAGGAAGCTGTAGTTTAATTTTTATAGATTATACACGCCACACCCTGTATGTATATTGTATTATACATATTCGGTCTCATATTACAGATGTTTTCTTTTCAGTTACTATTATTTGTAATATTATTGTTGTTTTACAAAACTGGTATGTAAAAATGTACTTTTATTATTTGCTTGTCAAAATAGACTCCATGATTATTCAACAAGGCTATTAATATTTGAAAATTTGCTATTTTTGTGAGTATTACAATATATTTTCAAAATGGGTCTCACATTTGGGCACTTCACCTTAACGTTAAAATATTAGGGCACTTCTATATAAACTTTTCTCGGAAAGTTGTTAAAAAAGAATATATACTTGGATGGAAAATATCTTAAAAGTCTTTAGAGATATCTCATACATAATTTAATCTTAGACTTTGGGCATCTGTAGAGTAATTTATGAGGCATCATTCAAATCCCATATATCTTTTTGTTTAACAAGGACGTATGTATTCCTTTGAAAATATTCCTAATTCTATTAATACCATAGACATCATCACAATATTAAGATAGCAAACAGTGAGTGAGGGAAGGGATTATCATTGAAATAATACGGTTTGGTTTAATTACAGGAGTATTCTCGAACACAGGCAGAGGTTTACCCCATAAGAAGGATATGGCTTTGTTATTGGTAGGTATATTATATATATGCCTCGAACATTTATTGGCTCATCAACAGCTCCGGGCTGTATTTGCAGATAAATAGACGTGGATTTAACTTGAACAGCTTAGTTAGATTCCGCTTTAACTACCAGCGAAGTATTGTCAAGCGCATCCCTGGCAGGAGCAGATCGTATGTTTGACATTTTCATATCCCTCAATGCTGTATGTGTAAAGGAGATTACGAAAATAGCAGTTTCGAGACAAAGTTTTTTGAAAAATGTAGGTTGTAGCAAGGATCTGATAAAATATTATTTTTCCAGCCAGTAATTAAAAAACCAAAGGAGGAAAGAATAACGATTTTCTCAGATCAATTTTTGGGGACTCTAAATACTATCATTACTACGGACTTATACTTTTGAATATAATAAATAAAACTACATGTGTAATATAGTACGAACATTAAATTTATGCCGTGGTTCTGGGTTTCAAAATTTATAATGTAAATAAAAAAGTCGGTTCATTAAAAGCTCGCGTGCATAGTAAAGGAAAATGAAACGGTCTTGGAGTGCGGAATTTATTTGTAACACTACATATTTGGATGTTAAAATTTATTGCTTTAATCGTTTGTT